ATGTATCTTTTGTTAATGGATAGTTAGTGACTTCTGTCAAGTGTAATCTATTACTTATTATTTCTTTAAAGTTTTGTTGTGTACGTAATTTAGCCTTTTGAAATAGTGAGTGCAATAACAAGCCTCATCCTAAAATTTATCATCATACAATTATAAAGTGGAAGTCGAAGTGTGACCTGAAAAATGAACTCTGAAGGCCACACATAACTTAGTTAACTTTAATTACGCTATACTGACTTTTGATAAACAATGACACGAATAACGCATTCTGATACTAAACAAACAAAGACTGAATAACTGGTGAACTATAAATCAATGTGTACAGATGTACGAGAGATATTCAATTTGTTTAAAGTGAACTAATATCGACTGAAAATGTGCTAACACATACCTATTTAATTAAAATCAATTTACATTATTAAAACCCATCAAATGCAAATGAATTGACCATTTAGAATCAATGTATTCTGTTTCGAAGTTAGATCGATTTTATCAATTTGAGACTGGGAAATAAATGACAACAAACAATAGTTCACATGAGAATAAAAATTTTTCAGATGCGAAATTGTAATATAATTTAGGTTGTAAAGTTTTAAGGAAAATAATCCATACAGATAATTGGGGTAGCGAATAAATTTAATAATCCATTGTAATTCTAAAGCTAATTTTTCAGTTTCTTTGGAGTAAAAAAAATATTGAGCAGAAACACAGGAATCACTAATGAAAAGACTTTCTTTGAAACTTGTTCGACTCATCACGGAACGATGTTAAGAAGCCCGAATACATGTAAATAAAAGCTTACCTTATCTCACGTTGAACTGTATGCGACAATTTACACATTTATGTCTATGCAGGTCAATTAGGATCATTGTAATGTGAATATCTGCCCACCTAATAGAACAGAGGTGAAGTAACATTTTTTGAACGATAGAAGTCATATTTATAGTTTAAGTGAGCTAATTCTGTCAAAAAATTAATTCAGCAACTCATATCTCAAACTTACGAATAATGAAGAAATATCATTTATGTATTTCCACTGCAAGAATTAATACACAGTTGTGACTCACAACCCTTCTAAATGTCAGTAATGGGGTCTGTGGTGATTTCTGAGTTTGATTGCAATCACGAACCAACCTTAGTTAGATAATCCGTGTAAACCATGAAATCTGTGAACCCACTGTGGTTAAAACACAGGCGATTCAGATTACATGACGAGTGTCAAGTCTTTATTCACTAACCCGGAATCCGATAGTTGAATTGTTTAATTTAGTCAATTCACGGTATTACGCACTGGCAGATGGTTTCTTTTAGCTCATTGCTAACAACAGATATATTTTTCACTTTTGTTTAAAAGAACACTGATGTACCTTTGTAATGAATCTAACCACGGGCTGTAGAACTTTTGAATGGTATTTCTAAAAGGAATTAAATGCAAAATAATTTTGAAGTATAAAATCTCACTTAATTAAATCATCTTTCAAATGTGTTTTAGTATGAATTTTACTTAAAAATTGAATTACTTCTCAAACTTACTGAAATGCGTATTAGAAAATGAAATTAATGAACATTTAATTAATTGAAGATACTCTTGAAGTAATTTAGCATGGTATAGATTATGATTAGTTTGGATATTTTAGACGGATTGAAAGTTCTTATCCACAATAATAATGTTATTCAAATTAATAGTACATTGAGTTCTTTCAAAATGCATAAGGATTTAATCCTATCTATCGACTTAAATTTATGTATCATTCTGACCATAATGATTATGATGTGTTTTCCATTCATATAGATCAGATTTATAAGCGGAATCGACGAAACATTCACAATTTTATTTTATTTTTAAAAAGAATGTCATTATAGTCATAATTTTGATTACAGTATTTTGGCATGTTGGATATGGTACGAAAAGAAATCTGGCATAGCACTCGCTTTTTACTATCAACAAATGTACCCCCAAATGACCTTGTACTGTCGAGAGTGGGGAGGGTCAGCTCTCCCTATCAAAATGCTCTCACATTGCTACGTGTATACAGCCACTACCAGAGAAGTCATACTCATTGCCTTCTCGCAGCACTGCTGTTGTTTATGAAATTGAGAGGACGAAAAGCGAATGTTCGGCGCATTAATCGGGTTGGTGGACACAGAGAGTTCACCTACGGGAGTTGGAACACCCTGATTCCAAATCAACGGTGCACATGGCCTCCAGTATCCTAAATGAACGAATAGTGTATGAACCAAATATTGGTCACTGGCTTCCATGGGACTGCACTACATTGTGGATCCAATCTTTAGGTGTGAGGATGTGTGTGTGTGGTCCCTTAAGAAAACCACCTACTTCGGTTTGGACACCCGTGCAGTATCACAGCCTATACACAGATCAAGTGACTTGTGTTGCGTATATGTATTTGGTGCCCCTTTGTATCAATATTTATGTGTTCAAATAAATATATGAATATAAAGAAAACGTGGTGAGACTATAATGTATGGATGACCTTTGAGCGATGCTAAACTGACCTTGAAAATCTTTACCTACTTACTAGGGCGAAAAGAGTGTTATAAATTAGTGCGGGTTATTAGGATTAAGACTTATAGTTGGACGTTAAGTTTCGGAATTTGTGTCGGTATTTTCATTACGAACTGACATCAGCCACAAATCCGAAATTGTATTCATTCATATGAATGAGTGAATTTCGTGCTAATATCCAATATTTGTTATCTTGAATCTGATTGATTCGTCCACAAATTATAGTCTCGTCCAAAAAGTCCGAAGTGATATTAACTAAATATTTAATTCGAGTATATTTTCTTCTCATAACTGTTGTTCAGTTTAAAGGAATAAAAAATCTTTTGTCCACAAATTCGTGTTAATTTGCTTATGAATGCTTTAGTAGTAACTTATTTGGTGGTGATAAAATAAAGTGTTAATCTTTAAGGATATTGAGTACGAGAGATTAAACTATGGTTTTATTCATTATAGGGTCTTCTCTACCAAAAATTTAATGCTGAAGTGTTTGAATGTTGCATGATATCTGGATTTCCTTTGATCCACATTCATCTAACAAAAGTAAGTAAGTAAATAAGTAAGTAAGTAAGTGTATCCAATATTGCAATTGTTCAGCTGAATTTTCTTTGATTCAGGACCTCATAAATCATGTAACAATTATGATTATAATAATTAAATTTTATAACATATTTCACTCTCTTCACTAAAACGATTACCTCCTATAAGTATATACATATCAAACATCATGCAGCGTAAGTAAATAATAATTTTAATAAATAAGTAAATAATAATAAAAAGGAAATCAAAATATCACATTTATCTTCATTATAAATTTACTTTCAATAAAACATCAGATTTATGTTTACTTGTATAATCAGATTTTGTTAAGTAAATATTGTTTCATAAAATATTAACGAAGTAAATTTCTTATAAACTTAAATGATTGACAAAAATATACCCATTAGGTGCTTTACATGTTTTTTTTTTGTTTTATTCTTAAAATACAGCCACACATAGTTGTTATGACTGATCATGTTGACAATAAGAGGGTAGTTTATTTTGTATTAAAGTAACTGCTTATCACATGTGTCTTTTTGTTTTTTTTTTAAAAAAAACATATATCCGAATTTCCCCCCTTACGATGATATAACAGATTTTTTTTCATCAAATGTTAATCACTTAAAATGAAAGGGGGGGATTATCGAATTCAATATTTGAAGTGTAATGATAGTTTAAGTAGTAAAAATATATATATTATGCTATATTTGTTGTCTTTTGTATGTATGCAGGTAAGATTATTTGCTTTTGAAGTAGAAATATTGCCTTACAAAGCAAATATCAAAAACATGAATATAAACATCAATGAAGTTACAACCAATGATGATATATCTATAGTCACAATAATGTTAGATTTGGGATAAAGCATAACTTTAAGATGACCAGAGTCAAAAGTTGATATGGAATTCAAGATTGGTATCGTTATTAATTCCTAATAGTGCATAAATGTGTACAAACTTTGGGTAAATTATTATTTGACAATCTCCACAACCTCAAACTGAAAATTATCATGTGCACCCTAGTGATTAGTATCGAGAGGATATTTCTTGAGTTGTAGTGAATAGCCGTCACCAATGGAGTTCAGTCATGTTGGCTATGAAGCAGTTACCCATAGAAGACAATGGAAGATGATCGCGAGATGTCGTAAATTGATTGAGGTTATAAATTAACACTATTGGATCCCGGTTCAATGGTCTGAAGGTTAAGCGTTCGCGCGCGGGACTAACGGTACTGGGTTAGATTCCTACGTGCAAGATCGTGGATAAGCACTGCTGAGTAGTACGATACCAAGACAAAACAACCTTCCATTGGTTTCAGGTTTTCAATAGTGGTCTACCTTTGATAGGATCATGATTTTTAAAAATTTAACAATCTCCACAACTCCAAACTGAAGATTATTATTTTCGCTGAATGAATCAACTATACATTAAAGATATTTTATTTGCTGATCAGGATAATTTATTCATGATCTGGTGTAGATGGAATCAAGATTGTATAGAAAATTTATAATTCACTATAGTACTATGATTTTTCGCAAGTCAAATTTTTGAACATTAGGGCAAAAGAAGAGTGACAGTAATGCCTACAATTTTCATGATATATACGTTTTACAATCATACTTTTTTCAAACCATACTTCAGTCCTTTTTACAAAGATGTGAAATGCTATGATGTCCGAGATCTGATGTATATATATATATATATACCCCTTAGAAAATGGGTCCATTTCCTAGCCAATGATATGCACTTGACCATCAGACCATTCCTGGTTGCTCGCTAGTGACATTCTTATTTGGCTAATTCTGATTGACTCACTATATCATGAAAAATATTATAAATTATAATTTTAAAGAATTTCCTTATATGGTGTATAAAACGTTTGGATTGTTTATCCACAGTTAGTCAGAAACACTTCGATTTCTGATAAACAGTATTCAATGTATACAAAATTATTCTCGAATACAATTTCCAGTTTCGAACCAAATTCAGTGTTTTCACCCGTTACTTATGCCTTGGATGACATGTATTCAGAAATCAACAATACAATGGTTGCATTCATAATTTCTAGTAAGTTACACTAACTTACCGTCGATAATAAAATATAGGTTCCTGGAGCTAAGTAGACAGCCTCTAACTGCATAACACGAAATAAAATGTTTATGCAAATAACTTCGAAGTAAATTGTATAAAATTAATGTAACGACAAAAGAAGTATACTTCGACTAATACACAGTGAATTAACTTAACATAAAATGACATGAATTTGAAATGAAGGAAAACTGAACATTTTTCTATGCGCAGTTGAATTTCGTATTGAACTTTTTATCGACATTCTGATCAGTTTAAAGGCATATCTTAAAAATGCATATAAACTTGACATTTATGAAACAATGCTGTTCTCATACCGTAACAAGAGGAATCAAGATTCTTAAAATTAAGGATATTTTTTGTTCGGTTGTTTATTTACCCACTTTGGCCTTTCTAAACTTCTAAGCTACTTAATCATCAACTTCTCAGATGTCCAAAGAAAATCTGGATTTGATTTGATTATGTACTTTAACTCTGACCTTAAAGTATTCAAAAGTTGGTAAAAAACCGTTACAATTCAAGTAGAGTTATCAAAGTACTAAACGTGTTTTTTTCTCACTGCATGCTCTTTGTGAGAATGAGTAGTGGTTGTGTAGAAATTAATTTACTGAATAAATCGCAAAATAAAGAAAGATACCATAGGAATGAAACAGGCCAGTAAAGTATGCGACTGGAAATTTAGTGCAGCTTATCACTTTTGAAAATATGTTCTTCTGTACATTATTTGCTTGTTTACCAACAACACAAAAATTTGGTACAAAGCTTTAAGGCCTTATAGCCTTCAGAATTTATGTCTCAGCAACAAGATTTAAAAATGGCAAAATAGTAACAGACTATAATATTTTTTTCAGTAGTTACTAACATACAAATAAATTAGAACTACATTATAGAATGATGCTGAATTGATACATCAAACTGTCTCACAATGGTTTATTCATGTTTCAGACCGTCCTAGTGCAAGTAGGAAATCCGATCCCGCTTATACAAGTCTGTTAGTAAAACTTCAATATTGAAAATATTAACATCGAAAGTAATTATTTTAGCCATCTTAAGACCAAGTAAGACTCATGAAAATTGATGAAAGTTCATGTTTAGCACTGTACTAAGTAGTAAACGGAGTGATGATATTATATTATTTTATAAGCAGAGTCGAACAGTGGCTAGTAGTAGAACTCAAGATGTCCGTTTCGTCCTATTTAGGACCCACCAGCTGGACGTACTCGCAATGTTCTTAATCACATCAGAACAGAAAGATACTTTGTATCAAACCAACTATTCCAACTTCGAAAAATTAAAAATATGAGAAAACAGTAAGAATCAAGCTTCAGTTTGTATTTACATTATGTGTTTACCACACATAAATGACTTACACATATTACTAGCTTTTCAAAATTTGAAAAAAAGAGAATCCTAATAGTTACATTCATGAGTCGGTTAAAGCTAGACCACAATTGTGAACCTGGAAGCATTGAACGGCTGTTTCGTCTTAGTATGAGACTCATAAGCAATGTGCATTCACTAATTCGCACGCGAAACTCGAACTCAGAACTTTCTATTTATTTTATTTATTTTATTATTATTATTATTATCAGCTTTATTCAATATTATATTTTTGGTACAATATAGAATTCTCAGCGTAAAGTATTTCAACAAGTTTCCGTTTCTTTCTTCTTCGTCGGTCCTGGCGATAAATATTGAGTGATCGCCAGTTAGATGTTAGCAGTTCAGTAAATGAACATCTGAATAATGGTCATTCTTTCCGTTGTATATTGCCAGCAACCACATTGTCCCTTATTGAGTTGTTTGTAACTTTGACAACGAAAGGTTGTACACTTTTCAGAAACGCAGCAGAATAGGTTGTGCGATTAATAAACATAATGATATATTAAAACAAACAAAAATAGATAACTTGTTGGAATATCTAGATGGCAGGAACAGGTAGCCCAGATGATCAAGCAGGCCGCCGAATACAATTCGGTCTCACGCGCGAACGCTTAACCCCTAGACTGCTGAGCAGGCATCCATCGGTGTTAATATATAATTTCCATCAATCGACGAATGACTTTGCAAGTATTCATCGATTGTCTGACGTAGATATCTATCTCTACCCGACGCAGATTGGACTCCACTAGTTACAGCTTCTCATTAGAACTCCTGTGCTTTCAAGTTTTCAATGCTGGTCTAGCTTACATTGACTCATGAATTCAACTATTAAAATACTACAATCTCCACAAACCCGATTCTGATCAAAAAAATAGAATCATCCAATCAAAAATCATTAAACTAATAAATTCTAACCTAACATTAATTTTGTAAAGCTATTAGTATTAAATCGCAAAAATATAAGTTAAATCAACTATCTCATTATTAATTCATTGATAAATATGATTCTAAAGTCAATTTAGAAATGAAATTAATCATCAATTATTATTAAGTAGTAATGTGACAATTAAACAATTCAGATAAATATGAAAACTAATACAAATCACTAGATTTAAATTGAAAACATAATTAGATGGATTGTTTTTATCCGAAAAGTTTATTTGAAATTAAATAAGCATGAATAAATATGAGTTTTGAACAACAAAAATAGCGAATAAAATAGCAAGTAATAGTTAGTAGTTTGTGTAATATTTGAAAAATTAAACTTAATAAACTTCGATAATATTTATCAATTTACTTGCTCATGTAAAGCCAGATATATAGGTCGTTCTATGAGTACATTATCCAAAAGAATTCAAGAACATTATCCTTCGTGTTTAAGAAGAAGAGGAAACGGCTCATTAAGAAGTTCAATAAACGAAAACATTATGAACATAGGTCAGACTATGCGTTTAAAGTCATCTACAAAGTAAGTAGAAGTCTTCCAAACACATTTATATTGCATCTTTTTAGTATTGCCGAAGCAACAGCTATACATCTGGAAAAGCCAGAATTGTATGTCCACAAGTGATTGGTACAACCTCTTCTTTTACCATGGTCTCAATGTTTTATTTTTTATTTTTTTTATACTCTTCTTCCTTTATAGCCATCTGCTTCACCTTACATCTTCCCCTTAAATCTTCTACATTCAACTGGTTTATTTCTGTTTCTACGATCCTCCTGATTCCATTTAATCTCAATTTCAACATTTTATCATGCTGATCCATCCTTTCCCATTGATAATTTCCCTATCTATCTTTTGATGAATAATGAAGCCATTAACAATGGAACGATTATTTTTTTAAATATCTTTGTTTATTTTACCTCACTATCACTATGTCTAACAGACGTTTATTGTCATTATTATCATCCTGAAAAAAATTATTATATATATTTGTGATTGTACAGCTTTGAGAATGAATTCGCCGGAAAGAGAACTCTTCGCTGAGCCAATCTTTCTTATTTAATATTAAAAAACACTGTTAACCATTTTACGAATATGTGAACATCATTCTTTTTTGACGCTGATTACATTCTGGAATAAAAAAATTGGTAATACACAATAATCTTTACAAAAACAATAGTTGGCACTCATAAATGCTTGACAATTCAGATTTTGTTTCACCAAAGATCATTGAAAAGCTTAGGATGATCTTAAATTCATCTGAAAAGAAAAAAATAGTTTTCTGGAGAATCAATAAGCCAAAGGAAAAATATCAGATTTAGTCACCGTGAATGTATGATTAATGAAGATTAGGCGATTGGTTTAATAATTTCGTATATGCATATAAATATTACTGTGTATTAGAGTAAAGCCTGATAAGGATCTAATCGAAAACAATATTGTTCGCTTATATAAGTTGTTCTAATGAAGATTAGGCAAAGAATGTTCATTTCATGATGTTTGGTATTGTTAGAATATCATATAACTTAAAAGTACCTGGTGATGTTAATTGCAATCTAATTACAAAACAGAAAAAAGGAAACGATGTCGCTAACCAGTCTTAACACATTATTTTAAAATACCTAGTAAGTTTCTGAAGTAAACTAAAAAAATCATCTATACTGTTATTATATTAGTAGACGTTATAACGAACCCCATAGAACACTTCATATCTTCGATGATTTTATTTATTACTAGCATTACTAAACATTAAGTAAACATAAATATTCTGTTTAATAGTAACGTGCTTTTACATTGAATCTATTAATTATGTGTTTTGGAAGCTCAGTCTTGATATCGCAGTTTTTAAAATACTCATCGTTTTCAAAAATACATATATTCTGGGCATAATTTTTATTACATCTTTATAAACTTACAAGATTCTGAATGTCTCCTTGTAAAAGGAATAAAAAACAAGTGAACTTTAGAAAGTCTTCCTAGCTTGTCAGTTCAATATTCAAAGTAAGTTTCTGAAAAAAATTAATCTTAATTCGTGTGACAAAACTCAATGGACATTATGGAATAGTTCTACATAAAAAGCATACTTGAATTTGATGTAATCAAAATGTTGAAAGTAATAAGATAGATTCATTACGTTTATTGTTTTAACCAATTGGATAATAGATAATTTTGTAAGTTGTGTTATTTAGAATAATATAAATGGTTTTAGTTGTTACCATTAACTACTTTGTATTTAATTAAGTATTATGTAACAATTGAAGTTAGACATTAAAACCTTTGAATACCGACCAGTTCAGTGGTCTAGAGGTTAAGTGGTCTTTTGAGAGACCGATAAGTCCTGGATTCGAATCTCGCGATGCAGGATCACGGATGCGCTCTGCTGAGGAGTCTCGCAATAGGACGAAATGGTCGTTCAGTACTTCCAGGTTTCCAATAGTGGTCTAGCTTGAATTGACTCATCATGTCAACTATTAAAAATATTTTATTTTTGAAAGAAAACAAATAATTAATTTTTATTTATTATTAATTAGTTGTGTATGATTGATTGGAATCAACAAATATTCATAAATTAGGTGTAGTTCATCTCATATATATATATATATATATATATATATATATATATATATATATAAACCGAAAATAACGATAGCAAGAACTGGAGTAAAGTTGTTTTCTTTCTAATTAAACTAGCCATATCAGTTATGCTTCATTGAAGTAACTTCTTGTTGTTTATTTATTACACTTCAATAATATCCGCTTTTAAGAAATATCGGTTAACCAATGATTGATGATAAGTTGTGATATATATATATATATGAACTAATAGAAAGAAACTACTATGAGAAATGTCAAAAGACGAATAATTTATTTAGTATAACTATGAATAAATTATTTTAGAAAACAGAAAATATTTGTTTGTATCAAGTTATTGTTTTTTTTCATTAATAGTGTGGTAGTAATTTCTTGTTACCACCTCCCTGCTGCACCTTCAATCAAAAAAAATAATGAAGTGTACTGATCAAGATATACAATCTGAAACTATTAAAAAAGAAACTATTACTACTATTCTTGCTAATCAGCATATATAAACTTAAATAAAATACATCAGTTAACATAAGGTGATCACATCCCACTCACTTTTCTTTTTAGTCAACCGAATTAGCTAAGTAGTAAAACAGAATGAAGTTAACTCAATTACATCTGATATCACTACATGAGTTAGTCTATCTGATCTCAAACTAAAATCTCATTGGTTAATCTATAGGTGATAATAATTAATTCCCATCTCAATTTTTAAAAAAAATGTAAAAAAAACAACAACAAATAAATAAAACCATTTAGTGCTTTCAACATTATTTGTAGATTCGTGACCAGTAAATTCAACATTGTTTAAACAAATTAACTTCATATATCTATATAAATAGGAAATTACTGTGAGATTTTAATTTATATTACACAAAAACAGTTTCATTTGATAACTACATCAAAGTGCTCATGTAAGTAGTATGAATAATAATGCAGCGTTTTTTTTAAAGGTTTCATTGTTTTCTGTTAATATTTGCTTAGTAACTGGTTTATTCGGCTAGTAATAATAAATTGTAATATAATTAAAATGAATTAATAGTTGGTATAAATTTACAATAAGAAAATATACAAATATAGAATAATTCGTGATAAATATTCCCATATTACTTAATAATCGGTATTAGTAGAATTCTATTATTGAGTTTAGCAAGATTGATTAAGTGTTATCAAACTGTAGTAATTTTCATTTAATAAATGAGTCCTCATATTGGGTATACTTCAATCAGTGAATTAAACAAGTTTATTTTAAATTAATTTTGAACTATATCAATATTCAGTTGTATAGAACTGACTTGTTTTATTAAACTACCTGAATAAACTTATGTTTATATGTATTCTAGTATCTTATGATTTTTAACAACTCGAAAATTACGTTCTTTCACATAATGACCCTGTTGACAGTAAATAGCAGTAAACTGTCATTTTATAAAGATGTTTCTGCTTTTAAAGTTTGTATTAGGGTGATGTAGATTGAAATAACTTTTTCAAATAAAACTTACGAGTGAAATAAGTGATTGTTTTAAATCATGCACCATTGCTTGTTAAGCCATTATATCTATCAACAGGGTTTCATTCAAATGTACACCTATAGTTTCTGTTTGGTTGGTCAGCCGTGTTACAAATCCTTTTTGATATCGTTTTGAAGTTGATTTATCTTCAGTTTTGTTGTTTATTCTACAACAATTAACTTTAGATATACTTACATAAGAAAATACTTGGTTAGATATATGTTTATGATTTCTTTTTGCTTGGTATTTTGCGAAAATGTTTTCATAAATTTCTAAAACTCTTGAAATGGGAAACGATCGGCCTATTACAAATCTTTGGTCCACATTACTTTTAATAATGAATAATCGATAAAACACATTACCAGCTCGTTTTTACTTCTTTCCAGTGAAATAGTTACTGATATTACTTAAGAATCCTAGTCAATAATTATAAGTATTAAAAGCTGGGCACTAAGATAACTGTTACCTAAATTCATGAAATTAAATTAAGGAGATGAGTTATGTCTAAGTACTTGTAGTGTAGTGAACGTGAACACAGAAGAGGAAAAAAATCGAATGTATTTAAACGTAAAATTACAGAATTTCGTAGCAAAATATGGGAACAATGCAGCAAATACTTCATTTGCAAAATGTCAGTCAATTGTCTTACACTTCACTGTTCCTTCATTTCCACAGCAATCATTCTCTGTCCTCATACTCTTATTTTTTATCTTCTTAACCTTCTACCACCAGGCATTTCACCTTCTTTTGTTGATACATACTACTTATATCTGTCGACATCAGTAGCACACACTATATTAAGCACCAGTGAGTTGAATATGTTAAATACGTTTAGATGTTTATGTCATGTTTATCAATAAAACTCTACTAACATTTTGTCTTCCTTTAGATATGAGGATTTAGTATGCATTCATTCATGACCTTTTTGTATCCTATTCATAGTTTTAAAACTTCTTCATTAAAACTAATACTAAAACTGTTCTAAGCCCTTTAGAATTCATTTTTTCTAGTCAGTCTTGTTGTACTAAGTTGACACATTGATGTTGGCTGACGGATATTTTAATTGCTATACATTGACTATGATTTGTTAGCTTTTATTTAAATATTTATTGAGATAGAAATAATTAAAAAACTGTAATATATCTTAAAGTCGTAAAAGTCAATTTTCTCTTTCGTGGTAACCATTTAAATCGTAAGTTACATCATTATTTTTTAAAGTTTCATTTCGATCACAAAAACTGTTTCATTCGATGTGTGCATATATATCCCTTTGAATTTGGATCAGTTCATTGGACTTATAGTAATTTGATTAGTACGACTTGATTTTCCATAAAACTGTTAAGTTATCAAACTTCATTGATGTTTTTGAACTTTGTCCTTAACAAGATGGTTTTTAATAACACAAGTTATAGTAAATAACTATTTTGACAATTTTATAAGAAGAGATTATACATTATATATGATAAATAAATATCTTCACAAAAAGGTATTCCAACACTTTTTCACATGTCAGTAGCAGTTTTCTACAGTTTTAATAACTACTTAAATGATATTTATTTTTAATATTTAAGTAATAAGTTTTGTTTCAGGGTGTATAAAAATTTTTTCAATGTTCAGTATTACTGTACTAATGAGAAAATGTTTTTATTTTACTATATCTACATGTTCAAGTGCTAGGATTGTTGTTTTACTACAGATATTTTACAGTGATGAGCTTAAGCACAGATGTTAGCTTAAAGTTGTCATAAATTAGGAGAAATTCTAATTTTTATTATAACAACTGATGAGACAAATAATATTTTATATATCAGTAAAGGGTTGTAAAAGTTGTTCATATTTACTAAAATCATGAGCCAATCAGTGTTAGATCACCATTGAAAACCTGAAGCAAATGGACAGCTGAATCCACCTAGTATGGGACTATTCAGCAGTGCACACCCACGATCCAGCACGCGGGACTAGAAGATGGTCATGGATCATCGTAGATTGGTTGAGGTTAGGCATTAAGATAGTTGGATGCCGGTTTAGTGATCTAGCGGTTAAGCGTTCGCTCACGGGACTGACGGTACTGAGTTAGATTCCCACGTGCAGGATCGTGGATGCGCACTGCTGGGAAGTCCCATACTAGAATGAAACAGCCGCCCAGTATTTTCAGTTTTTCAATGGTGATCTAACATTTATCGGTTCATGATCTCTGATAAGCTAGACAATTAGATAAAACTATGTAAACGGAATTCACTCAAAAATAGTGATAATAATGCATATTTACCAAAAACGTAATACGTTTTTAGTGACTTTTGAGAGGAAAATAGGGAAATTTTATGCAATCTAACTATATTGACAGGTCAAATGTTCTATAAATCCCCTTTCCATGTGTTTTGTAAAACTAACTACTGAAATCAAAGTTTTGATTTCGTTTTTGTGAAATGCAATTTTTTTTAAAAATTTCAATTATTTTTTATAAGAAATTCGTTCTTAATAAAATAACAGAAAACTAGATTGATGGTTATTGAAAGTGCTTAGAGTGATAATATCACGGTTACCTGTCACGCATAGGATAAGATTATTTCTAAAACTCATCATTTGATTAACAGATAAACTTAAACATGCTAAAATCAGACGTGACTTTTATTTTACAGAGTTTGCATATAAAGTCAATAAATTATGAGAAGACATTTTTCAACTATTTGAGTACAATAAAAAAAACATTCATACCTTATTTTGATGTAGTAAAATATGAATATCAATTAGCTCTTTTGCAATAAACTTCCTTTGAAAACAATGGTGAATACTTAGAAATTACGGACCGATTTTTCTTGTATTCTTCATAGAGATCTTATATATATTAAAAACGAAAAGTGACTTTATAAGCCTAATAACATTAGTATACTGACATTGTGTATCAGACAATTGTAATTTCGTGATTATACTGTAGAATTATGAGAATACAATATCGTATTATGTTCTAGGGAAAACCAGATTTCATTTGTACTTTACGTACATGAAAATGCAAATTGTGACATTTCATTAATACTATCTAGACTGCATATAATTCTGATGGAGATATCCTTAAATTCTTTCAGATAGCAGTAGTAATTTATTCCAAATATGATACTAATTTAATGTTGTAATTTCACCAAAACTATATTTTGAGCCTTCTAAAGTATCTGATGGATAAAATTTTGCATTCAATTCGAAATTGTTTGCTGATAAGAAATCTTCCAATTTAGTACATAGAATTAACTCATGAATATATTGATTTTTAACATAAACATATATTTTGATGGAGTTTTGTTCTCTGAGCTGGATGGTTTGGTCGTGGAGCTTTCATCGTTCTTCTGAACGATATCATCAGCACTTCACTTCTATCTGAAGTTTTGAGAACAAAACTCCATCAAAATCATTCAATTGAGCTACAAATCTTCTCCACCATCTCATAAACAGATATTAATAGTGTAAATTTAGTTAAATCTAAGTTTGATTTGTTGACTTGATTTAGCTAATATTTGTTATTATATATAATAAAAGTATATTTACTTTATGCAAATATCTTCAGTTATCAAAGTAAATACAAATAAATCAGCATAGATATGTAACGTAGTGTTTACCATTTGTTCTACGTTTTGATTTTATAACTGAGACAGTAATATTCTTGAGTTACATGATATAAGTTTGGATGTAAACTAGATCAATTACTCGTATTATTAGCCTTAATATTTCAAATGAAACTGCATATAGCCATTTATAGATTATAGGCAAGTACATATATCTGAAAGTAATTCACTAAATAACAATGAAATTCTCCATACTCAAGAAAGATGAACGATTTTGTTAAATAATCTAAAAGTATTCATTGCAAACGAATAAATATAATTATAAAGGTCATTTTGAATTTTAATTTTTTCTTCACAGTTATTCTATATGATAGAAACCACAAATATTACCCATAAGTCGATCATCTCTATTTGCATAAACATCAGAAATCCAACAATGTATTTAACACTTTTTGAGTATTACTGCCTTTATTCTTAATTGTACAAAAATATTCGTCTCTTCAAATTTCTTTTCATTTACAAACGGGTGTATATGCCGATGTACCGTTATTTGTTGTCTACTTCAAAACTTTGATGAATTAAACCGTTATTCCATTTATGTCATTGACAGTGTTCCATAGTTTATGATGATAATTCTGTTTCATATTAACAATTACCATTTTACAAACAAACCTTTTCTTCAAATGTCTGTTATTGTGTCAATACTATAGTTGATAAGAGTTAAAAAGACCAACCTCTAAAAGTAAACGTTTATTCATATTATCCGTATATTTTCTACGATTTTATTCTACAAAATGTCGTGTAATATATATTTCACTATCTAGTTCTGAAAATGTAATTTCAGTGTAT